TCCACGCCACTGTTTGCAGGTGGGAGAAGCCCATAAAGTCCTGGTCAAACCCGACCACCTGGAGTTCAGTGAACTGTGCAAAGAGGAGACTGGCGTCGGCCCCGAACAGGTCTGCAACGAGAAATCGCTCGAACAAGTTCTGCTACAGGTGAACTGAAACTTTGCTGTGAAATGTACCACGAAAATCCCCCCCGAGGGGGAAGGGGAGTGGGGGGTTGGGGGGTTGTGTGGGGTGGGGGGTGTGGGGTGGGGGGGGAGAGAGAGAGAGAGAGCAACGTGGATTTATCTATTTTGTGTGTTTCAGGTGAAAATCTGAGTCTGGGTTTAGAGAGTCAGTCTCTGATGACTGTGTGTGTGTGGGGGGGTGTGGGGGGGGGGGGGGGAGGGGGTGGTGGTGGTTGTGGTAGGAAGAGAGAGATTAAAATGAAGATATTCCCCCCCACCACCAAACCACAAACCGAAGAAGTCTGTTGTCTGTTGTACTAACACACAAACAGCGGCGCCAGAGTTGGGAGGAACTCACCTGGAATCCTGGCTGGTAATTACCAGAAATTCAGCTGCCCTTCCCCTCCCCTCCCCAACCAGCCCTGAACCCCCCCAACCAGCCCTGAACCCCCCCAACCAGCCCTGAACCCCCCCAGAGAGGCTGTGTATGTGTGGGTGGGGTGGGGGCGGGGGAGACTTCAGCCAACATGTGGCCATCCTTGTATTAAAGGGTTGTTATTTAAGACCAGTCCATTCTGGAGCCCAAACTTGTTTGAGCTGTGGGTGTTGTGAGGGAGATTTATTTTGAAGGCCTGATCTCCCCCCCCCTTGACATTGTGCTAAGTGAACAGGTGAAGGGACTAAACTCGTCTGAGCTGGATGGGCGCTGGACCCTGAACAGTGTTCACCTGTGTGACAGCTTTGATATCTGCATTGACCGCAGCTGTGTGTCTTGTCAATCGCAGATATTTTAAGAGTTGCACCCAGTTGAAATAAGTTGACCACCACATGCGATTCTTAACGTTTAAAGAACCCGTCAAGAGGAAACTTATGTTCCTCGTCTGCGTTTTGTGCTTGGGAACCTGAAGTTGGCTGTTTTAAAAACAAAATCCCGCTTCACGCTATTTCCAAATCAAAGAAGGAGCAGTGGATTGCAAACTGGATTTGCGTGTGTATTTCAAATGCCCCCTTTTTTAACAAAAAAATCTGTCAGAAATGGGAAGGTTTTAGTCCAAATAAAAAGGGCAATCCCCAATAGATTGGATTCTTGTCTTGGTGAGAATTTTAATGCTGCAGATCATTCCAAGGTGAGAGTCCCACTGTTTCCCTCTATTGTATGGAGCCCAAACCACATTTTTTTTGCAAAAGTAATTTTGTCTATTACATGATGACTCGTGCTCCATTCATTGGAGGTAACTGAATCTTGTGAAATTGGTGCCAATTCTCTTTTCCTTGCTCTCCCCCCAACGCCACCATGGCCTTCGTTGTTCAAACACCTGGGTCTCACTTTAAATGACAAAACTGCGCTCGATCAATATCTTTTTTTCCTGCATGTACGAGTGGAAATCTATTGGAAGCGATAGTCAAGCTAGTTGACTTTAGCAGTTACGTCAATACTTTAGAAAATAATTCCAACCCCTTTTAGGGGCAGTGACCTAGGAATCGCCTCGGAAATTAAGCTACCCAATGCTATTTTGCTTGATTACATTTTGTGTTTGTATGTATGTGTGGAAATGCCAAAGTTATGAACCAGCTACTTACCAAAATTAAGCAAAACCTCATAACCTTTTCAAAGTCCTACATGTTCAATAGATCATTAATTTGGATGTTCAGTCTTAGCACTAATCATTTCAACTTGATCAGTTTGCTGTACAGGAAAAAAGTTCCCTTAATTCAGTTCATGCAAGTTATCACAATCTTGTATTTTTGTGGACTGGGGATTGGGTATGAACAGACTATGTACATTGCAATGTACACAATCTATTATCTGCAGCCCATGTCTTTTAAGGGAACCTGTGTCAAATACAAGCCTGTGGGAATGATTTTGTTATTGCATTGTTTTTGTGAGTCTCATTGGTATCCTCGCTGAGCTGATGTTCTGTTACCAGGTACAATACTTGCTCATTGTCCTTGAGCTAGGAGGTGCTGGAGGCAGCGCAGGTGGATTGACTTTGGCTTTGACATCAACAAGTTTTGTAGCTTGAGGCCATTTACAAATGGCAGAGTTGCTTGGAGTGACCCGTTCACCATTGCCTTGTTTTTCCATAGTGATTCTATACACACACGTGAACTTCACTTTGGTCAATGAAATGTAACCAACCGCCTATGATGCTGTGTGATTGCAGAGTGCATGAACTAAGCTGGATTTTGAGCTGACCGCTGTGAGCAAGGGCTACATTCTGTTCATAGTTTGGCTGGAGATTATTCCATGCAATGATATAACATTGTTACTCATAACCAAGTGAAGATTGCAAGCAGAAAACTTTTTTTTTTAAAAAGTACACAAGTTGAAGATTCCCAAGTACCAAAGCCAGAATACTCCAATAACCCGACTTAAACCTGCACAGTCTTGGAGGCTGTTATAGTCCCTTAAGCATTTTGAAAAAAAAATCAATTGCTGCTTGTTAAATGATTGCATGTTTGTGTTGGGAAGCGTTGTTTATGCAGTTCAACCTGTAGAGTGCCTTATTTTAAGTGATGTATAGAAGGGGTGGAGAAGGGAGCAAGAAAGAGGAGGCTGGAGTGTAGTGTCAATGACTGATGGAGTTTTTTTTATGTAAGCTGGTCAAACTTGTTGTTCAGCCCTACGATGCAGACATTGACAAGGCACACTTGCTTGTCAGACCAGTATCTCCACTTTGCAAACTTGCATTGTTGAGTGTTTCATTTCCTTAAAGAAAACTGATTGCTGATTTTAAGGAGTTGAACTGAACCCATTTTAGACCTTTTAACAACTTATTCAGATTTCCTCCATTTAGAAGATGCATCTTTCCTTCCATTGCTAAGTGCAGGTGATGTATCTTTGATGCTGGCATCACTTTTGGCTTTTCCAGACATTGTGGAGCCACCTGTAATTGTCAAAGCGGTCATAGGCCATTGGATTTAGTTCTCTTTGTGGTCTGAAACCTATAATGAAAAAGCAGATGTGTTTTCAGATGTTATTATAACTTCTGTTTGTCCAGCCTGAGGAGTCAGATTTTATGACTGGCAAGAGTGGCACAGCCTTTGTACCTGTTAAATCTGTGGAACGCTACATGTTTTTAAAGCAAAAATGAGGAATTGTCATTCTTGAGAGCAAAATACAGTATGTATGTGTGTGGAGGCATTAAATAACTTTAACATTAATAATTAAGTCTGTCTAGAAATTAGACGTTGCAACAGCAATAAATTTCTACACAGTGTTGCTGAAATCAAGAACGGGCAGAATATTGATTCCTATAGTATGAGACAAGTGACCAAAATAGTTTTTTTTTAAAAAATACAACCCTTGCTGCCTTGTTTCTCTCTCCCTCTCCTGAGATCAATGGATATTGGATCTGTTGATTTAAAAAATGTTTTTAGGGGATATTTTCTTGTCCTCCATATCTTTATAGTGTAAATCTTTTAATTAAAATTACAGTGCAAACCTTGCTTTAGCAGTACCATTGCAGTCTACTTGACTGATGCCTTCAAGTCTCTAGATTTAAATGATTTGGCTTAGCTCACGTCTTTTTTATATATAAAGTATTTGGTTAAACTGACTCTTCTATGTATTGTAGTTAAACTTGCAAGTAATGAGTATTTAGTCACTCTACAGCTTCCTTCTGAGATTGTGTTCCAGCGCTGAAACCAGTGTTCGGTGTGAGAGGAGCAAAGTTGTACAGTAAACCTCACATAAGTCATATCAATTGGAATCATTCATAAATATGATTTATACAAAGTATGAGTTGTGTCAAACTTGCATAGAATATAAAGTCTGGAAAGGAACTTGGATAGTTGTATGACTTGGGTGATTATACAATCTATAGAGATCAAACTTGTGTGAGCTTTACTATATCTTGTAATCTCTCCCAGCTCTCTTCCCCGATCTGAAGGCACTTAAATACATTGCATAAACATTGTAACTAGAGAATATTTGGAGTGGCAAATTACTATTGGTATTGTGCTTTGTTGGGTGTTGGCAAAGTTGATGTATCTTTGTGGTTGAGATGCTTTCATTCTTTTGAAAGGTGTGAAACTGGTTAGTATAAATGAACATTTGTTTCTCCCTCCCACTCCCCAGATTAACGAAGTTTTATCAAGAGAGTTGAAAGCACTGGGGAAAAACTCGTATTGCCTCTGCACTGATGGCCAGTTACTCATTCGCCAGGTTCTGCATCCAGAAGCATCCAAAAAGGTGAAACTGAATTTGATTATTAAGGCTGTAAATGAGGTTTGAACGTGTTTGATTTGGATTAGATTGGCACAACCGCAACAAATTGCATTTATATAGAGCCTTTTGTGTCGGGATGTCCCAAGGTGCTGGACAATCAAGGGTTTGGACCCAAGATGGGGTTTGGAATCAAGCGATGGAGGTGGGAGGATGACCAAAAACACTCAGTGGTTAGAGCACTTGCTTTGCAAGCGAGAGACCTGAGTTCAAATCCAGGCAGGGCAAAACCTTGGGCAAGTTTCCTTACTCCACACGCCTCATAATAATCCCTCCAAAACCCCAAAAAAATAATAAATTGGTCATTTTCAATCTACGACTGTTTGTGGGACATTGCTGTGCGCAATTGGCTGCCGCGTTCGCCCACAAATATACAGTCAATTCACTTTACAGTGGGTTCTGTGAAGCCCTTTGGGACGTCCTCCCGACGTGAAAAGCGCTATATCAAATGCAAGGATTATTATTATTATTTATTATTAAAAGATAAAGGTCTTCAGACAGGCCTTGGAGGTCAGCCTGGCTCAGTGTAGCACTCTCGCCTCTGAGGCAGATGATTGAGAGTTCAAACCCCACATCAGAACTTGGAATTCTTAACTGACACTCCACTACAGTACTGGGGGAATGTTGTATTGCCCGAAGTGCCATCCTTCGGATGAGAGGTTAAAGAGAGGCCCATCTGCCTGTTCATGCGGATGTTTAAAGATCCCATGACACTATTCAAAAAAAAAAAGAGAAAGGAGTTTCTCCTGGCCAATAAATCCCTCCAACAGCAATGGTTTGTGGGACATTGCTGTGCACAAACTTGCAGCTACATTTCACCCACAAAATACTTAGTCAATCCACTTTACAGTATATTCTGAAGTGCTTTGGGATGTCTCGAAGATGTGATAAGGTGCTACATCAAATATAAGCAGTATTAACTTCAGAATACAACCGACTCCATTTTTAATGTACCAGCTGTACCTGTTGCAACTACTTTTGCAACCAAAGTATCCGATATGGAGTGTAGATTCACACAGACAGATATTTCATCTTTATACTTATCTGGGAGTCCTCCTTTTGGGAGGACATGGCATACGTAGGCGTTCTATGATGCACAATGCCACAGCACCACTTTGACTCGGCAGCTACCAGTGTAACTGCAGTGAAAAACACAAAACTGAAAATAATTCATGAACGATAGGGGATACCTGAAAACAAATATGTCTATGTCACTCCCAGCTGCAAGACCTTTCCGATGAGGTATAAATCATGCCTCTATTTCAATCGGTTATTGAGATCCTTCTTGAAGCGCAGACAGACATTGTTTTATTAGTATAGAAAGAAGATAGATTAACCCAATCCACCATATTATATGGGATAATCCCATGTGATCTTTCCACCTGAACAGGCAGATGAGACCTCGGTTTAATGTTTCATCTGAAGAAGGATTTCACCTCTGAGAATTTGACAGGTGCTCAAGATTAGGAAAAGATTTGATAGTGGATGTTGATGGGCTGTCTCCACTTGTTGGAGGCGCATATTGAACACTGGACATTGGGCTTGAACCGACAACCTTCTGACTCCCGAGCCGAGAGTGCTACCTAGTGAGCAAGGCAACACCAAAATTAGATATTCGACTGGTAATATAGTGGTGCTATAAAAATGGCTGCCCATCAGTGTTTCCAGGTTGCAGGCAATTGTTGAAGTCAAGCCAGCAACTCATCTTTCAAGAGTTTGCAGCAGTTTCCAGGACATTAGTCGTAGACACTGAGAGACTTGGCGTGCTACGTAGAGGAAGCCAGCCAGTCGTGCTGGAAGTGGGAAGTTTACTGCGCTTGTGGTAAACTTCAGTACACCTGCTGCGCTATAAATGGACTGGTAATATAGTGAAGAAACTAGCCAACAGTAAGGGGAGAAAGTCAGGTCAAACACTAGGAGGAGGTCAGAAAAAAAATGTCTGGTTTAAAGCTGATCCCAATTCTTCGTCTCTTGTAGAACCTGGTGCTCCCAGAGTGTTTCTATTCATTTTATGACCTGCGGAAGGAGTTTCACAAATGCTGCCCAGATATTTCCTCCGTGAAAGAGCTCTCCATCAGTTCCATGGCTGAATGTATCCTTCCTTCTGCTTAACTAATTTGTTTGTTGCATTTGAATGTTTGATGTGGTTTGAGATGGCCACTCTGATCCTGAAGAATTGAAGTGTATCACCATTTGTCAAGATCTTTTATCAGCAAAACCAAGCTAGACATTGAGTATAAGAATTCTGTGATATTCCTTAATGCTACATGCAGATTTAGACCTAAGCACAGAGAAAACAATAGATGACTTTGGCATATTTGAAGTGACGACCATGGGTGCAATAATTTTAAACCTATTAGCTGAACCTTACCGTAAGTAAACACCAGTTTAATTCCATACATTGGTTGAGGTCAGTGACTCGCGTGTAGTTATTGTTTCACCTTTCTTATTTTTCAGATCACGAATTCAAAACTGTTGAATCAGTGAACTATAAGTTTGAAACTGGTCCCTGGTAAGTGCTTAGGAGTACCTGAGTGATGCGTTTACTGCAGGTTCTAGGAATGTTGGAATCTCCAAAATAGATACTGGCAAATGGTGTAACAAATCTCAGTAAAGTGCCCTAGAGCAGAATCGCTGCGCTTAGGAAACCCGAGCAGTGTCGAGTAACCGAATACCTGTGGTGCTACACTAGTTTTCAATCTCAGCTGTGTTGTGAGTTGTCATTGACCAGAGGCTACTAGGGTAAAATTCCACCTGGTTTACTCATTTAAAATAGTGTCTAGAATTTGGCAAGTTGTTGAACTTGGTCTTAACTTTGAATCTGTTTTTCTGCAGTTTTGAAAGTAACTTGCAAAAAAAAAAGGGACTATTTTAGAACGTGCCAAATTTTGGACATTGTGAAATGCTACACGAATATAGTAAATCTAGATCCAGGTGGAATTTTGCCTCTTGGATGTTTCAAGTGGGAGGGATGATCGTAAAGGTCACTTTGGGAAGCTGCGCTAAATTTCCTGATTGCTAGTCTTTGGAGGCAGCCTGAGAAAAGATAATCTAGGTGTACAGCTCTGGAGTACTCTGGAAAGAGTAGACAATAAGTGGAATCTGTCCAAAAGATTGATAGCAGGAACTTTCTGTGCAAAGAGATTAACTCGAGAGTATTTCGAAATTGTGTTAAAGTTCTTTCCAGCAACATACATGGGCGGGAACGTTCACTGTTAAAACTTTCACTTACAGCAGCAAAGCCGAAGCTGTCGATGGTGAAACTGTAATAAGAGCGAGAGGATTACCCTGGCAATCTTCTGATCAAGACATTGCAAGATTTTTCAAAGGGCTGAACATAGCAAAGTATGTATGGCTTATAAGCAGAATGGCTTATATTTTCTGACTAATGGACCTTTTCAATCAATCTTCATTCTCTAAAGATCCCAAACCTGAACTCATCTAGTTTTGGAGCATCTTTTAACTCTGGGTCTTCGGTGACCAGCTATAGTTCAACTTTTGAAGCTATTCACTGTCCTTAACGCAATGTTTAGCTCTATCATAGAAAGCTGGTTACAGTCCTGATTCCTGCTCCAGCCAATAACGCCACGTGTAAGAGCTGAGTCCTGATGTTCAGCATGTAACACACGCAATAAGTGACAGATTGAATAGAAATTGTATTCAAATGCCTCTTTATTTTGGACAAAAAATAGTTTTCATTCAGGGAGGAGGAGGAAAGAGAGTGAGAAGTTTACCTATGAAAATGAGTGTTGAGAAATTTGAAATCCTGATATAAATATGAATTGTTATTTTATTAATTGTTGCTAATTTTCTGGCAGTCCACTTCAGTGCATAGCAGGCAGTTAAATGGGGACTCATTGCTCTTGTGCTAGAAACTGTATAAATTCAGCATTAGTGTTGAATGGATTTTTGGAGGTTTTACCACCCAGTAGTAGGTTCATCGGTGAGTTTGATGTAAATGGTCTCTTTTTTTATTGCAGAGGTGGTGTAGCTCTATGCCTCAACTCGCAAGGCAGAAGAAATGGAGAAGCTCTGGTCAGATTTATCAACGCTGAGCAACGAGACCTTGCCCTGGAAAGACACAAACATCACATGGGGAGCAGATACATCGAGGTGTGCATAAATCTAAAGTCATCTCAAATTCCACTTTACTGAAGTTGTGTCTCGAATTTCTTTAAACTTTCTTTTCCTTTGTGTAGGTATATAAAGCTACTGGAGAAGAATTCCTGAAAATTGCAGGAGGTAAGTTTGACCTGAATATTTTGCTGCAATAGAAATTTGATTTTTTTAGTGCCTATCCCTCTGCTTATTATAGTGAATCAATTCACTTTACAGTATATTCTGTTATGCGCTTTGAGACGTCTCGAAGATGTGATGAGGCACTGTAACAAATGCAAGGATTTTTATTATTGAGGCAATTTCTGACTTTGTTCTCCTATTATTGTGGAGCAACCACTGTACATTGTTGCATTTTTAGCTTACACCTACAAACTCTGGAACAAATCCTTCCTTAAACAAGCAAACACTGCTCTGATTCTGAGTTTGAGGCTGTGTTTGATCACTGTTTGATCCGACTCTTCATCAAATGATCGTTGATCATATTAAATATAACAGAGGAGCAAAGCCCCTGTACAGTGATGTTAATGAAACCACCACCGAATGTTGATTTTTGTTCTTCGAACCATTTTAGTTGTTTTAAAAATAATTTACTGTGATGTGGGTGTCTTACTGGACACAAAGATCCGTACATTAACATGGCACTTCAACAAACTGAATTAACTCAGCAGGAGGGAACTGTTTTGTGATCTAAATAGAGCTTAAGAACATTGTTGCTAAACCATTATCTGGTAATGGGACACTAGACCCCAAGCTTTGTTGTGGTTATTTGTTCAAAGTTGCTTAAGTTTCCGTTCCTTAAATCCATGAGGAAAAGTGTATGAACCTAGTATCTCACTTAATCTGATGGTATTTTTAAAACTTGATGTAACTTCTGCGCTGGTTTGGAATAATCCTTGCATTTGATATAGAACCTTTCCTGTTGTCCATCTTGTAGTCACTACATTGAAGCACTTCATTTGATATTGCAGTACATTTCCAGGGTTCTCTTTTTCTACACAGTGGCTTTCAGTTCTTTTAAGTTTTATTGTAGCTCTTCCCCATCCCCTCTTAATTGATTCTTTTCTATTCTAGCTTGAACCTGTTGATAACATTTACGATTTTAATGGAAGCTACTGCCTCCAGTCATGAAGCACTTATCTGTTTGATCTGGATTTGAGTATTGTGCAACAAACACTTTTTTTTCCAAAATATGCACCTATTTACCAGGTACATGAAGTCAAGATTGCCGATAGCTTTTTGGATTACTGCTTAAAGCCCTGTCAAGGTGACAAACTAGGTGTTGAACCAGCTTTGATTCCCTGAGCATTATCTAGGAACATCAGTAGTACTTGATTGACTGGCTGCCACTGACAGTGATATTTTGGTTAGCGACTGCAGGTTGCTAGAATAACTTATCCTTGATATTGACGTGTCGGTTGAAGTTTGCCATTATTATTATTTTTGGCCAAGGTCTTTGCTTCTCTCTTGAGCTGATTTGTAGGGTTGAATTTTATGGGAGTGCTGTAGTATTTTGCTGAAGTGGTTATCTTCATGCGTTATAGAAAGCTATTCAAGTGTGGAAGAAGAGGTATAGCAGTCAAAACCAGTCCTGTAGGGGTACCCTAATATGTGCACTCACAAAAGCGTTTGGAGCAAGGGGAATCATAATAAGGTCCATTATAGTGCCTCGGCTGAGATTTTTCTTTAAAGTGATCAGAAGTGATTCTGTGGCCAATTCTTTTCATCGGTCTGTCTCTGTCTCTCTCGGTCTTTGCCTCGGTCTCTCACTCTCGTAAATGCTCGTTCTGTTCTCGGCTTGCGATTCAACCGTCCTGATTTTGATCAGAGTATTTGTTTAACTGCATGATGATCGCTGGTCTCCAATTTTGAGCCACTCTGCAGGTGGAATGATCAGACTGGTACCCAGCTGATTCATCATGTTAAATCTTGTTTTTGTGGCAGGTACTTCAAACGAAGTGGCTCAGTTCTTGTCAAAGGAGAACCAGGTGATAATCCGAATGCGGGGGCTGCCCTTCACAGCCACGGTAGACGATGTCCTGGGATTCTTTGGCAACGAGTGCCCTGTTACAGGCTGCAAGGAGGGGCTCCTCTTCGTTAAGTACCCTGATGGGAGACCCACTGGGGATGCATTTGTTTTGTTTGCATGTGAGGAGTATGCACTGAATGCACTTAAAAAGCACAAGGAAATCCTGGGGAAACGCTACATTGAACTGTTCAGGAGCACTGCTGCAGAGGTACAGCAGGTTAGTGTTCTCTACTGTATGGTATTGTGCTGTTTCCAGGCATCATAATCCCTGCATGACATTTCTTTCTCTTCTCCCTGCTTCCAATCTGATGGTTTGGTCTGTTAACCCAGTGTGTAGGGCACAGTGGTTCTCCAGTTCCGTCTGTGAGCTGGTCTCAGTTTGTTGCTATTGGGACTCAGTTGGGACAATCCCTAAACTGAGTATAGTTTACAGGTGGAACTGGACAACAATTGGCCTTAGTGTATTGAGGTTAAGAGGGATCAGCCTGAGTGACTGCTAACCAGCCATCTCTGCTGGAGGGGGCACAATTCTTACTGTGGTCCTAGCCTTCCAAGGCTTGCACATCAACAACAACAAAATTACATTTGTAAAGGGCCTTTCATGTCGGGAGGACGTTCCAAGGCGCTGGATAGGCAGACTAAGGGCCGATTCCAAAGGTGACCAGTGCCTGTGGGACTGTAGCCCAGAAGAAAGGAAATTGAGGAAAGGAGGTCTTTCCAGATATTTCCCTGTAGACTAAATACTTTCTCCTTCATGTGTATGATGCCTCCTAGTCTGAGGAGACCTGGAGCTGATCTGCTCTGCGACCCACTTGTGCCTCGCTTGGGTAACCTGCTTTGCTGCTGTAACACAAGAAATCACTGACAGTGTTATTTCGCTGGCCAGTTTCGTGGCTGCAGCGAACGAGCATGTTGTGCGCTCATGCGATGTGTAAATTCTGCTCGGGCGGAATGTGAGAAGGGCAAGATTTGCAAAGTAAGCCTGCAACTGTAATAATGCAGTAAACCACTGAGCCTAAACCAAGCATGTAGCTGGTTGATGGGACAGCAATTCCAAACAACTTGGTCGCCTCGACATTTTCCCGATGAGGCATTCCTTCAAAAAAAAGTCACTCATTCCATGACTGTTTGTGGGACACTGCTGTGCGCAATTGGCTTCTGTGTTTCAGCCACAAAATATGCAGTCAATTTACTTCACAGTATGAGACGTCTCGAAGACTAGATAAGGTGCGATGTCAAATGCAAGTATTATTAAATAAACTCCATCGTCTTCCTTTCTCCAAACCTCCTAGGTGCTAAATAGATATATGTCAACACCGCTGATTTCTACACTCCCAACATCCCTCATCCCAGTGATGCCTCAACCGTTCATTGCCAGCGGAAGCTTAAGGGACTGCATCCGTCTGCGAGGCCTGCCCTACACAGCAACCATTGAGGATATTCTAGAATTCATGGGGGAGTTTACAGTCGACATCAAACCGCATGGTGTTCATATGGTACTAAACCAACAGGTAATTCTGCTGCTGTGAGTTCTCTGTGAGGACGTATACCTGTCCCTAATTCGTAGGGATGTTGAGCTACTCTTTTAAATGTACCAAAGTGTGAAATTTGCTATTGCTTTTAAGAGGAATGAAATAGCAGGAATGACTGATCAGTGCACGTGGAATGCTGAGCAGTTGTGATTATTCAGAACTAGTGTGTGTTGGTCTCATTAAGTCGTATAATAAATAGAAATCATTGCATATGATTTAGTGCCTTATCGCATCATCATGACGTTTCAGTGATTCGCAGGATTTTAGTGGCAGTGACTGAGTTTTATGGGCAAACACAGCAGCCAATTTGTGTACAGCAATATCACACAACCGCCAATGAGGTTACTTTCAATTTTTATTGACTGATTGTTGGGCAGGACAGACACCCCTTTGTCATTAAAAGGTACAAATACAGTAAACTCATGATAACTTGTCATTCCAAGGGAAAAGGGCTCAGTGATAAATACATAAATAAATGCGGACGGGATATTGACAGCATGATGACTGCAGTGGCAAGTTAAGCCAGGGTTGAGTTATCAGGAGCTGATGTACAATCCCAGAGACTAGGCTTACTGGGTGGGGGGGGCGGGGAGAAGGAGATGTGCTAAATAGAGGCTGAGTACAAAATGATCAGAAGTAAAGTGTGTAATGAGATAGGGAGGGTTTACTTAATTATCCTGGCCCTTTTCTTACTCAAGCAGTTCTTGGTCTGCAAGGTGGTCAGGTTGATCATGAAGGCAGTGCTCACTTCCTGTGCAATGTTTTGATCTGCTTTTATGGTCTGATGGCTTTTGTAGTCTGATTCCTGATAACTGGTTATTATTTCCTTTGTAAGTAATGGTGGACAGTGCACAGAATTTCTCCATGGCTTTTTGAGACCCTTTGATCTTATATTTTCAATTGTCCACCAAGTAAAATTTATGAGCAAAACCTGACTCATTATTAAATAGACCCTTCTTTGCAAAAAGTGCTGAAGTAATCCATTGCTCTAAGCATTAAAACGGGTTGCACTGGAGAAAATAACAGCTGGCAAGCTGAGCTATTAGGCTACATGTTGTCTTGGCAAAGCCTGATATGTTGACAAATGGGAACTTACTGGCACTAGTATTTGACAATTCCTGGGATTCCATTCGTTTTTTTAACTTATCAGTGCAGATTCGTCTGAACTCGTTTATGAATATGTTTTCATGCAGCTTGAAATTGCCTTACTCATCAAGGAGTTTCAAAACTAAAGGGTACATCTGTCTGTTTGTGCATGGGCAGATGCTTGCATTTCCCTGGTTTCAAATGGGAGAGAAGATTTGCAAGCAGTTTTGAAACTGCTCACTTTTGATGCACTAGATATCCAGGAGATATCCACTAGATATCCGGCTCAGTTGGTAGCACTCTGCCCTCTGTGCTAGAAGGTTGTGGGTTGAAGCACCACTTCACAACTTTGAACTTGTGTTGTCCAGGCTGACTCCCCAGTGCAGTGATTGGGGTGTGCTGCATTGTTGGAGGTGCTGTCCTTCGGATGAGTTGGTTGGAGCAGCATCTGCCTGATCAGGTGGACAATAAATGATGCTATTCGAAGAGAAGGGCGTTTCTTCCTGTATCTCGGCCAACAATCTCTTTCTTCCCCACCCCCAGGATAAAGCTGATCATTCACCTCGTGGTTGTTTGTGGGACATTGTTGTGTGGAAATTGCCTACAAAATAGTCTATGAACCAATTTGAAACGTCCTTGTGATGTGAAAGGTGCTATATCAAATGCAAGGATTATTTTCTCGATTTACATTTTACAAATTTCTGCATTTAGTACAGTACGATAACCCGAGATAATATTTTGTTGTGGCTAGCTTTGATTCTTTTCAATCAGCTTTTGTATACTTTTTCTCTCCCCCCACCCACCCTCCCCACCGCCCATGTTTCATTCGATGTTTTAAAGAGCGTTTTTTAAAATCTCCTTTTCTTCTCGATTCCTTCTCTCTCCCTCCCCAGGGCCGGCCCTCTGGTGACGCTTTTATTCAGATGAAGTCTGCAGACCGCGCTTTCTTAGTCGCACAGAAATGTCACAAGAAAACGATGAAGGACAGATATGTGGAGGTGTTCCAATGCTCTGGAGACGAAATGAACTATGTTTTAATGGGTGGCACTTTAAATCGTAGTGGCTTGTCTCCGCCACCATGTAAGTTACCATGTAAGTTTTGAATTCTGGCGCTCTCTTCTGCTAAAGCCTGACATTTGCGGTAGGTGCTGGAGCTTATGTTTACCTCTATCTTCACCTTTGCAGTGATTTTTAAAACTTTTTTTAAGCAATTTGTTCATCAATCGAGGGTTGGAATGGAATGGCATTTTTTGTGTTTTCATCCTCTTGTCTACAAGTGACACAGTACCACCACATAAGCGGGATATTGCTTCTTGGGACACTTTCTGGAGCTGTGCAGTACGTCTGTCTATCTGGTAGAAGGATTTCGTTTGGAAAACGCTCATAACATCAAATCTTGGAAGGCAGCTACTGCATTTTGTGACTCTCTACACTGTGGTGTGTGCGTGTGGCGGGATATCTTTCACTGAATTGCAAAGGAAATGATGAACACAAGGAGGTGCTTCTTTAAGACTTAGAGATAATTTGTTGAAATTAGCTTTTATTTTATTTATTTGATGGGTGGGAAAGGGAAGGAAGGGTGCAGGGTAACAGACTAATTTTCTACAAGGGTAGGGTTGAAGAGAATCAAAACGAATAACCAGGTGTTTGAATCGGAAAGGAATCTGAGATTTTTGGCAAATTCTTATGATCTGTTACCTGTGCAGAGGGTATTGATTCTGTGATCTGCACCGACCTTGGGAAATCACTTGCATCTTTATTTTTTTTTCCCCCCCAACCGTTCCAAAGCTGTGTCATGCACTATCCTGACTATGTTTCTTTTCTGTTAGGTCTTTCTCCACCAGCTTATCCCACGTTCTCGCCTGGCACTGCTATGATTCCAGCAGAAGCAGCTCTTTATCAGCCCCAAGCTCTGCTAACTCCACGTACAGCACAGCCTGCACCCCCTGCACTTGCCTACTACCCTGCTCAGGCTACAGCCACTCAGCTGTATATGAACTATACGACCTACTATCCAAGGTAAACGTTCTCTAGCATCTCCTTCCTCTTCGTCTTTAGATGTTGGATGGACATTTTGAATACTTAAACCTTCAGTTGGTAATCTTGGATTGAGGGATATTCTCCTCTGATCGTTAAGTGCAATCACTCCATGGAATCATGCAGAGAAGGAAGATCTCTTTGGATCTTTTCACCTGTGCTTGATCAGCATTGGCCTATTGCTGTAGGAGTCCTGTAGCTCAGTGGTTAGAGCACTCGCTTTGCAAGCGAGAGACCTGGGTTCAATTCCAGGCAGGGCGAAACCTTGGGCAAGTTTCCTTACTCCACACGCCTAATAATCATCCAAAAAAACAATAATAAATTGGTCATTTTCAATCTACGACTGTTTGTGGGACATGGCTGTGCGCAATTGGTTGCTGTGTTCGCCCACAAATATACAGTCAATTCACTTTACAGTATATTCTGTGAAGCGCTTTGGGACATCCTCCGGACGTGAAAAGCGCTATATCAAATGCAAGGATTATTATTATTATTATTGGTCCCCTTCCCTGTTTTTTGTTGTTGATCTGCACTATCCAGGTTTGCATGTAAAGAGTGGCTACTTGGGAGGAAAAGTACTAGTCGTCTGATGCTAGCTCTCAACATGACCGAGTTACACTTACTAGGAGGTGTAAGCGCAGAAGGAATCCCTGTGTAACTTGTTAGCCTCACTGGGCTGTACAGCAGCACCTGTTTATGGCAGTAGTTGGGTGTCTGTAAAATTTCAACCAGCCTTGAACTGAGCACTTCTGTATTGATGTTGCTGCACATGGTCACAGAAAGCTGGCCAGTGTTCCATGTGGTTAGAGGCCAACTTTGGGGTCATTGGGCCGCTATGCATTGTGAATGCGCATGTAGTTTAAGGTTTCCCGAAGACCTGGATCTTCAGTGTGTAGGAAGCCAGCCTGTGTGTCTGAGCCAAAATGAGTCCATAGAGCACCTGATTTATAAGGGGGAACCTTTGACCTGGGTTATTCTGTATATTCTTGTAAGATTGTTTTTGGTGGAGCTCTATAGTAGTAATACTACTACTACTGATTATAAACATTGCACTTTATTGCATTTTATCACATCATTGAGACATCTCAAAGTACTTCACAGAATATACTTTAAAGTGAATTGACTGTCTTTTATGGCAAAGCACAGCAGCCAATTTCACACAGCAGTGTCCTTACCACAAAATAGTCACTGTACTTCACACTAAGTCCTGTGAATTGTCTTGAGATTTCCTCCTGACGTGCAAAGACCTATTATTTACTATTACCACTGTGTGTAGAGGTAAATGGTAGAAGTTAGATGGAGGTGCTTAGGGAAAAAATTGTTCAGAGAATTCATGCTGCAAAATGGAACAGCTTGTTTTTCATCAAAAGTAAAATGCCATCGTTAAATGGCACTTTACGATTTTAAAGTGCCACCCATTAAAACATAGTTCCCACTCCTACCTAGATTTATAATAATAATAATCCTTGCATTGATCCATGCAGGGGTATGGGGAAAGAGCGGGTGAGTGGGACTGATTGGGTAGCTCTTTCAAAGGGCCAGCACGATGGGCCGAATGGCCGCAGTCTGTGCTGTAATATTCTACGATTCTATGATTCAATATAGCGCCTTATCGCGTCTTCGACAGTCTCAAAGTGCTTCACAGAATTTACTGTAAAGTAGATTGACTGTATATTTTGGTCTAGGCCTATGCCAACTATTGAAATCATTGCGTTGATCAACCTGAGTAACTTCAACTTGGAACTTTTGTTTGCAGCCCCCCAGTATCTCCAACCACTGTTGGATACTTTACAGCACCTCAGGCAGCTATGGCGGCTGCTGCTGCATCCACGTCCCACCCTGCGGTGTTACCCCAGCCCGGAGCCCTGATCCGCATGCAGGGCCTGCCTTTCAACATCGCCACCAAAGACATCCTCAACTTCTTCCAGGGATATCAGGTAAAGTTCAGCTGCTTTCCTCTCTGCACCTCCTGTCCTGTGCAGTCCAGCCCGTTTTGATGTAAGGCTGTTGCCCACATGTGCTATTACAATCGCAATGTGATACTGCTGTGTGAAATGTTTTAGTCTAAATATTATGGTTCACCTGCTATATAGCAAAGGACTAACTGGACTAAGAATATCTAACTGAGCAACATTTTTTTCCCATGCGTTCCATTTCTCTTGCTCTCCTATGGATGTATTGAATGGCGTGGCTGATCTTAAAGTGAAAATACATTTGGACCATCTCTGGCTTGGTATGGCCGTGTGCAGATAGAGTACTGTAAACGTTGCACTGTACGTGGGGATTATTAAATTATACTGTACATGGTGATGTGATTTTTAGTGGGAGTTTGGCCCATCTCTGGGGGAATGAGATGGTGAGTTTTTAGTTTTCTTCCCTTTTTTTGTTGAATCTTCTGGTTTTGTGGGGGCGTTTGGACTGCATGTGTGACACGTTAATGAGCAGTTGTAGTAATACCAGACCTGCCATAATAGTGAGATTAATTGAGTGCCATTTTATCTGGCTCCATCCTTTTCACAAACAGCAGTGGAATCTCCTTGTATGCCAAGCAAACCTCTCACTGTAAAATTTCAGTTTGACCCTTGATTAAAAAAAATGGGGGGATTGATTTACTTGAAGGGAATTCAAGAGAGAATAGGCTTTAGAGAGGAATTCAAAATTAGATTTTTTCCCTCTGTTTGTGCCTGAAAATGAGCCCAAGTTCCCAAAAATGATTTTAAATTTTAACATCTTTCCCTCTTTCTCCCCCAACCCCCCCCTTTGCCCTCACACATTGCCTTGGAGCAACATGGCATTATAATGCTTGGGATTGAACCCCAAAACCTTAGTGCTGAAGGACAAACCTAATTTAAAGAATGTTGACCCTTACTTAATAAAATGTCATACTTGGGTTTGGGTACTTGTAATTCCAAATTTGCTGCCAGTGACTTATAGAAAAGACATGATCTCAGTATTGGAGCTTTGTTTTTTTTTCTTTCTCCCCCCCCCCCCCTCCCCCATTGTGGGTTTTTTTCCCCCTTCTCCATGAATCCATTTTTATATCAACAAAAGCACTGGATAACCAGCTGTTAGATTAATGAGGACGGTGCTTTATTTACTTGTTGCTCTCCTCTGGAAACGTGTGCTACATTTGCAAGTCCCATCTATGATGGACGAAACTAGGAAATTACGGAGAAGCCACCCTCACTCATCCCATTTGGCCACTTTCTGAATCTGTAATACATGTTCAGGCTCTCAAGGACTTGTTAAAAGAAAAGTTGTTTTGCTGCTATTGCAACACATTTTTCTCTGACATATATGAGGGGTATGATGCATGAATATAAAACCAACCAGATGATGTTTAACACTATAATGAACATTTTTGCTCGCCCCACTTTAGAAAAGATGTCAAGAATGTGTAGAGAGGGTACAGAGGAGATTTAATGGGATGGTACCAGGGATGAATGGATTGATCTGTGAGGAGAGGCTCGAGGAACTGGGCTTATTTTTACTGGAACAGAAGAATTTGAGGGAGACCAGAAACATGAGGGTTTTGATAGAATAGACGGGAAGAAATTATTTTACACTCTGAATCAGTGGAGCGAGGGCATCAATTTAAAATAATTACTAAAGGAGCACAGGGTTAGATTAGGAGGGAATTTTTCTGTAAAAACTTGTTAGGATGAGGAATGGCTTGATGGGACCAGTCTGTAGCAGGATCCATATCAGTTTTCAAGGGTGAACTAGATAGAGTAATTTATTGGGGGTATGCAGAATGAGTACGTAAATGGGACTGGATGGCTTTTGTTTCAGAGAGCCAGCAATGAACATTATGGGCTGAATGACCTTCAGGATTATAACTTTCCATTACAAGTCCAGTCCACTTTCCTTTTGCAGATCAGATGCAGGAATATTCTTCAAGTGCAACAACTGTCCTTGTATGCAATTCTGTTTCTAATCCCCTCACCCTATTGCCCCTACATAGAATGAGATTCCACTGTCTTAAACTTTCAGTACTGCCAAAAGTCACACAGGGCAGGTAACAATTTGAATATTTTTCACCAAAGCAAACCAGTTTTTTTCCCCTTTCCTCCCATGTTTTTAACATTGCATTCTCTAAGGCAGGTCTGGTAATGTACTAATATTTGCACAGCCTAGCTGCCCCACCCTGGAATCCTTTGCTGGGCAAGTTAGTCACAAGGTAATGTGTTTTAAATGGTGGATGGGACTACGCCAGGACTGATGATTCAACAGCACTGACTGAGTGCAGTTTAATTGGGTTTGTTTGTGAATGTTCACATCTACTCTATTGAATACTCCCTCAAATTAGTTTAAATCTCAAGATTGGCAGGAGAGAATTTTATAATCCATGTCCACTGAGTTGTAACCCAGTGAAACTTCTCCCCTGTGCTAACTTGCGTCTCTCAATCCAGTCCTTAAGAATCGTTTTTTTTCTGTTGGACATTCATCATTTTGCCCAATTTTAGATTGAGCGATGCATGTTAAGCTCTTATCACTGAAACAGTCCCAGCCCCCAAATGATTTGTTAAATTTTTCCTATTAAAATATATGGTCGTTTCTTTGCCAGTTTGCACATCTGTCTTTCTTAAAATTTAAATACAAGTATACCTATTCTTATAATTATCTAGACTGAATGGATTTACTTGAGCTACATTGGATTTCCACTTTGCGTTAAAGTTGTAAATCTGAGTAACCTTACTGGGAATAATGTTTTTGGACAGTGTAGGAGCATCATACAAGAGCCAAGCTCAACTCTGTACCATTTGTGCTGAAGTTGTTCAAGCCTTTTATACATGGCTGATGTACATAAAGACATTTGCAGTGAATATTGACTCTGTTGTCTTTATGAATAGGAGCTGCTGTGTGATGGGCTTTCAGCTCTATCAGTGAGTTTAGGACACAAGCCACAATATACCAGATTGTCTACTTATCTATTATTTTTTTCCCTATTCCCTCCAATTTGGTTTGTTCTCTCGAAAACTGGTGCCCTTAGCCCCGTGGTGAGAGATCTGTTAACTGGTTCCAACATTCAAAGTAAAATTGTCTCTTGCCAATCTGAAGCCCAGATCGAGTATTCTAGGTTTGCAATGTGTGATCAGTGTGCACACACCAAGTATCTTTTTTTCTTTTGACTGATGTATGTATCCAAACTTGTACTGTAGTATGCACCAGACGACTACAGCGGCCTGATTCAGATGAACGAACAAGCAAGGAGTTTGTATCAGGCACCCAAAGAGTGGGTCTGTTTGTAGATGGCCACCTTTGCAAATTTCAGTAAGGTAAGAAAGAAACTCCTGGCCAGGTTTGTGGCCTGGCATCATCCTCGAGTGATTCTGGGGACGTGAAGTGGCTTCATAATCAGATATTTCTTTTTGCTACTCCTTCACCTCCTGGGACTGCTTTCATCTTTCTTAAGAGTTCTTCCATTGGTGAGCTGTAAACACGTGGTGAGGTAGCTGTTTCGGGCACTGGTGGTTGCAATCACTCCGTAGAGTTGGAAAGCTGAACTTGTCTATTTGCTTTCATGCATCGTTAGGGTAACTAAATCCCAGTAACTTCTGAAAGTAAAATGTCAGGACTTCAGCCAACCCAATGTAAATCTTTTGTTCAGAATAATTTCTTTTTCCTCCCTCACCCACCCTCCTCTTCCTTTCCAACCTTCTCTCCACTCCTCTCCCTCCCCTCTCCACTCCTTTTTTCTCTCTTCTTCCCCCTCCACACCTCCCACCCCATGGCACTACTCCGTTTCCTGACCAACAATCCCCCAGATCAAATCAGTCATTCACTTAATTGCTGTTTGTAGAACATTGCTAGGCACAAATTTGTTTGCCTACAAAATATATCACTGCACTTTGCGGTAAATCTTGTAAAGTGCTTTGAGACGTCCCCTCGAAAAAAAAGGTGCTACATAAAACACAAGGATTATTTTATGAAATCTAATGTTTCTAATTCTTCTTTAACTGGATTCCTTCTGGCAAAGCTGAGTGGGGAAGCTTTCTGCATGTTGGACCCTTCCACCTCTGATCTGTGCTTCTATAATCCGAAGCCTTTGGACAATGAGCGTTTTGCATTACAATACATATTGGCGGCAGTTTCTGTCCAGCGAAATAACACCTAGGATTAAACTTGTCCAATTTTTTTTAAAAAGTCTTTTTTTTTTCTCAGCTAGAACATTGCAAAGCCTCCCCTCAGCTACCAAAGCACTTCATCCAATGGCTTAACTGCAGGAATTTCACTGCTGCTGCTCCACCCAAGTTGCATGAAGCATGTTGGCTATTTCAGCTTTTACCTCTGAAGCATTGAGCTGCCAGGAATCTGTTAAAAATCCTGCATTTTTTTTTCTCCTCCCTCCCCCCCCCCCCACTCTTCAGCTCCATGCAGATTCAGTCTTAATTCTGTACAACTTTACCGGCCAGCCCAGCGGAGAAGCTTTGGTGACGTTCCCAGCACTCGATGTGGCCTTGCAGGCAGTCTCGGTGAAGAATGGACAGCTGATCGGCCATCGATATATAAGCCTCAGTTTGGTGTAAGACCCCCACCTCCCCAATCCCACAGACTGGGCTTCCATGAGCCTTGCACTTGCCCCTTCCTCCTCCTCCCCTCTACTTAAAAAAGAGCATGGAAATTCTTTTTGAAGGAGTGGCCTTGTACAGAGAATAAAATAAACATGTGTAGGACACTCCCTTCCTGCTAAAGGGTTGTGCACTAATGCAAAAAGCCATAATAGACGTGCACCGCGTCTACCTTTTTTTTTAAAAACTGCCGACTTGCATTTGATTTTTGACTTTATACTGACGTGGAAGTGACGTGTGTATTGTGAGAATGCTAAAAGTGTAGTTAAGTTATATTTTTATTTAAACCTAGTAGCTTTCAGAGCCATATTGTAGACTTAACATTCTTAAAAGTGCATGCAAAGTGTTTACACATTGTTAAACCACTTCATTTGTATATTATGATACAAGACTGCTGCTTATAGGAGATGCCTTTAATGCATGCAATAGGAACTTTTTTGTATTTGCCTATAAGCTAAAGGAATACATTTTTTACACTATTAGATGGTTGAACGACCAAACTGTCTGCTGTTAGAGCACTAATACTTATTTTCATGATTTTTTCTCGTGCCTTAATGCAAAGTGCAATATCAGCAGAACAAAGTTTTTTGAAAAGGCCTCGTATCCGAGGCTGATTGAATTGTATGTACTTTAGTTAATAGAACAAGTTTGAAACTTGTAATACTTAACAGAATATTAAATTGTATGCTTTGTATAGCCAAACAATAAACGTGTAAAGAAGCAAAATAGTTTTAATCCTGCTTCAAATTTCCCTGTTGCACAAATGCGCATGGTGTGCTCTCAACTTTGCTACACTGGTTCGCCTACAAAAAGTCATTAGACTTTATGGTATATCCTGTGAAACGCTTGGAGATGGCGTCCCAACTGTTTATGAGACACAGCTGTGTGCAATTGGCTGCTGTGTTTTGCCCACAAAAGTCAATTCATTTTACAGTATATTCTGAAGTGCTTTAAAACTCATCAATGATGTAAGATGCTATGTTAAATGCAACTGTTATTTATACAGAGGAGCCACTTAAAGATATAAAGATATCTAAATATCTTTAAAAATAGTCTGCTGTATTTCGCCCACAAGAGACGCAGTCAAAAAAAACACGTTACAATATATCCTGTGAAGCAATGAGAGGTCTTGACCACGTGATAAGGTGCTGTATCAAATGCAAATAATATTTATACAGAGGAAGAGGGGAAAGGAGATTTGCACATGCAATATTCTCCCTTTCCTCTTCCAAGTTTTACCAACTATGACTCATTATAGAAAGCTTTTTACGAAGGTGGAGAAAAGGCTGCTAGCAATGGGGTAATTGATCAGGAAGGATATTCATTGTTCTTGAGGGTGGTGGGGGGGGGGGGGCGAGAGAGAGAAAAGATTGGCTTAGTAGGACTGCCACTGTGGTCTAATGTGCACGGTGACATCTAACAGGATTTCTTAAGAATTCTTTTCCTCTTCTTCCCCCCCCCCCCCCCCCCCGTGCAGGTAGAGCCACAGAATATTTTAACATCTCATGAACTGGGCCAATGGAAAAGTGTGGCGGGCCACAAGTTTTTGGCAGAATCCACTATAAAGAGCGGTCTCCGCTACAAACCCGTTACACAGTAAAGTTTCTGGCCCCGGGTCTCTGCTGGCTATTTATCTGATGTCCCTTTGGATGGGGGCGGCCAGAAGCAGTGCAGTGCGACAGTCCTGTCAGGACCCTTCAGCACAGATAGTTAAACCCTCACACAGGGCCCAGCAAGGTGGTGATGTGGACCTGGGCAGAACCCGAAATGAAAAGCGGACTGTATAGAAGCAACTGCTGGCTCTCTGCTGGCTGTTTACCCCATGTCGCTGTGGACTGGCCGGCTGCGGACACACGTGCAGACGCATGCAAGCAGGAAATAATAATAATAATCCTCACATTTGATATAGCGCCTTTTCACATCTTCAAGACGTCTCAAAGCGCTTCACAGAATATACTGTCAAGTGAATTGACTATATTTTGTGGGCGAAACGCAGGAGCAGTTGTCACACAAACAGTTGTGGGTTGAGTGATTCATTCATTATTGTTTTATTGAAGGGATTATTATCCCCGGGAAAGCGATCCGCCAATCGACTAATGACGGGTTCCTACTTACTGCTAAGTAAACAGAGGCGTGTGGAGCAAGGAAACTTGCCCAACGATTTTGATTGAATTGAAATGGGCTTCACTCGGAGGCCCCACTGATGAGATTGTGTGAGTCTTTCTCTCTGTGTCTGTGTGTTGTGTGAGGTCCTGTATCCCTGCAGACAGGACACTGGTTCTGAGTGTCTGTTTCTCGGTGGATCTCCAGGACCTTCAGGCCCGTGCTGGTGTCCCCACCCCCCACCCAACTCAAATGGGCCGCCCAGTTTTTGTTAAAGAAGAAATTAATAAAAATGTTTTGCAACAATTTAATGCGTGTTATTTCTTCAGGCTTAGGTTTTATCAATAAAGTGAAAAAAATGTAGGTTAGCAGTAAAATGTACCTCAATAGCACCAACCAACCCCAAGCAACCCTCTGCAAAATGTTCCTGCAATTTTAGGCAAATATTTCTGCACTTTTCTACTGGCCCAGTTCATAACTAATGGGCATTAGTTCAAAGACGTTAAATATCCTGTGGCTCTACTTTAAACTAGAAGGGAGTTTCTCCCAGTGTCGGACATTGCTGTGTGCAAATGGATGTGTTGTGTTTGCCTACAAATAGTTGTAAATCCTGTGCAACACTTTTAAGACGTCGATAAAGGGATATATGAATTGCAAGATTTATATCTCTCCCAACTAATGCATGCATTCCTCAGGTGTGTTCTAATGTGCAACAATTCATGAAATTAAATTTGGACTTACAACAAAATAATAATAATAATCCTTGCATTTGATATAGCGCTTTTCATGTCGGGAGGACGTCCCAAAGCGTTTCACAGAACACACTGTAAAGTGAATTGACTGTATATTTGTGGGCGAACAAATCACTGTTTGCAGGATTTCAAAATGGTTATGATTTCATCTGCTGAATTTAACACACCAGAGGACCTCTAATAATCGATCAGGAAAGTGGCAAAGCTCCTAATATACAAGACCTGGCCTTGACAACTAAGTACTTCAACCTGATTCTTCCATCAATGACCTTTCTCCTGGGAAACTAACCCAAATCAACAAAACTACAAATGTAAATATGTAAAACAGCTGGAATTAGAAGATGAAAGGTTATTAATATGAATACATTTATATGAATCAAATGCCTCTGTTAATACATGGCAGCCATTCACTTCATAGCCTGTTTGTGGGACATTGCTATTGTGCAAATTGGTGGCCTTCTTCGTAAAATAAAGTTGCATCACTTTACAACAACAACAACAAAATTACATTTGTAGAGCGCCTTTCATGTTGGGAGGATATCCCAAAGCACTGAATATACTTTACAGTATATTCTGTGAAGTTCTCCTAACAGGTGCTGTATCAAATGTAACAACAACTTGCATTTATATAGCGGCCTTCACGCCAGACGGCATCTTGGGTCGCTTAAATGTAAGGATTATTATTAATTATTATTAGAGGGTGTTGATCAGTCCTGAACTGATTGTTCAGATTAGTATTCTTCATTATATCCTTCCAAGGTCGGGAGCAGAAATGACTTGGTGCAAGCGTCAGCAAATTGCAGTGCTACAAGCTTTTAATCTGAAAAGACCGGAAATAATTACTTTTCCTGAAGCTGGTAGTTCAAAATACTAAACTAAATGTTTTGATCTATTAAGACACACCATCATATATATAAGTATATAAGACCACAAAGTATATAATTGCCACAAGAGCTAATACACTCACTTTGCAGTAATAATCACCACGCTGTGTCTAAATATGATTTGAACAATTATACCTTCTATGCCCGCACGTTGCTACTGGAAGGACATTCAGAGCAGGGATAGGAGAACTTTATTCTCAAATAGCCAAATGCTACAGGTCGTGTCTAACACTGAAGACACAGCTATTTCTTTTCCATATCTTATAATAATAATAGTCCTTACATTTAATATAGCACCTTATCACCTCTTCAAGACGTCTCAAAGCGCTTCACAGAATATACCGTAAAGTGGATTGATGATATATTTTGTGGGCGAAACAGGGCAACCAATTGCGCCCAGCAATGTCCTACAAACAGTCGTGGATTGAAGTGACCAATCTTGAGGCTAAAATGTCTTGAGGCTTTAATGAAGTACTGATCCACTTCCCAGTTTCCACCAATTATACACCAATTAACCAAACCAAATAGTGATTTACACCAAATCACTATTCACAGCCGTGCTTGATGATCTCTTTCAGCAATGGCTTTAATTTTCACTTATTGGCTCCAGCTGTAGCCAGTAAGTGAAAATTAAAGTATCCTCCTCAGTTTGGTTCAGTTTGCCAGGCAGAGCAGGATGTGGCAGGTGTTGGCAGAATTTGGCAGGTCAGAGGACATTTTAGGTCCTTGGATGAGGTAAGAACCAGGATGAAGTATTCTAAGCTGCTTTAATCACTGTGTTTAACTCATAATTATAAAAGGTAGAGCTTCTTTTATGTTGACCTTCAGCTCTTTTTATCATATGTGGGAAGCATGGTTCATGTTTGCTCTCTGCTTGTTACCTATTTACTTAAGAACAGCAATAATAAATAATCCTTATGTATGGTATGGTTCTTTGCATTTGATCTTAACCTTCTCCCAATTCTTGCTCTGTGTCTTCCTGCCTCCCATTCCCCCTTTAAAGTCTTATAATCTGTTGTGCACATAGCACAATTTGAATGCAAGTTGTTGCGATAATTAGATAAAGAACCTAAATTAGCTATGATCCTAGATAAGTGGTATTCTCTCACTCACACATACCTAATGGAAAGGAAACAAAATTGAGCTGCTGAAAAATTGAGAGCACAAGGGAATTTGATGTGCTCTCCCTTGCCTATCTCTCAGACTACCACTGAACCAGATCCATGATCATTTTGACATTCTGTTATCAATTGGGTCATGATATGCCATGCTATTTTAATAACTCTGAACTTCCTTGATAAATTAGTGTTTTCTGTCATCCACCAGGAGGGTAATTTTTCATCGAGAGATGTGTTAGACAGTGGTGATGTTGAAACCTAATGCATTGCACCTGCAAGTTCTTTTTAAAAAAGAAGTGAAGGATACATGGGGGAAGCTTGTGGCAATGAAAACATTCAGTAGCTAGTTAGGAATTGCTAAGATAAGAATTGTCGGGAATTGGAAAGTTGTTAATGTTGTACCAATTTCTACAGGGAGATCAGGCAGTGAAGTTCAACTGGAATTCTACCTTTATTTGCATAGCAAATCAATTTTAAGTTTTGCTATCAGCATCCAATATTGTGGCAATAAAGGTCTCCCCAGAGTGTACCTCTTATTCGTTTGGGTAACAGCAATGTCGAATTTTCGTGTCAGATTTGAACTGTGAGCTATGTAGAAAGATTGTCCATTGCATTTGTGTACTGCATGCAGTTTCCTTGTTGATCTGCTTTGGGGAGGATTTCTTAACCTTGAATTGATTTAACATTGACCATTTACCTGGTCGCTGTCATTGTTTGATGTGTGTAAACTTTCCACAGCAATATAAGGAACAAACTCTACTGTATTCATTTCAATTTAGTCTTGGAATACTGTACTACCAATGAATAGCCATTCTGTGGCTTTATACACCACATTATATATTACAGAATAAATGGGATTTCAACCAGAATGTGTGGGA